TTCCCGCATTGACGTCACTTCCGGCTTCCCCCAAAACTTCAAAATGAGTCGAAGGAATTTCCCCGCGATGTTCGAAATTATTGATATTTATCGGAACGGTATCGCACCTTCTTTTTTAAACTGACGGTTCGAGATGACTAGTAGCCCAATATTTCATTGCACAACAGTTGTTGGGATGCTGTCACAGGCTCTTTAAAAATCCAATGTAGGATATAAACGCGACTAAACTGCAATGATAGCAAAGCTGTGGCTTGTGTTTTTGGGGGAATAAAGTCCAAATCATTGTTGGGCTGTCAGCCAATGAGTGACTTCTGAGGAAGATGAAACATGTAAATTAAACATTGTTGAGAAAATGCTGCATCTCTTGCATTTATTGACATAGAGGAGCCTTATTGTTTACCTTTTTAATATCATCTTTTGTAATTTTCAATTGCTTGGTTTTCGTGAAATTAGCCTGTTTTCCTATTAAAGTGTAACATCTCCACAGATCATCTTAAAGGCTTCGGAATCCCCCCATTGTAGTTAAAACTGTAAAAACTAGGGCCCCCAAACAGCATCTAGCATAGGGCCCCCAAAAAGCTAGAAACACTTTCAGCCAGACGCTCAACACAGCTGGCTCTGTAAGTCAGTCTGCATAATGCATAATGCTCAAATTACTAGATTATCATTATTGTTTGGACACAAATGTATACAAAAAAGCAGCATATTTGTAATATTTAGCTCTATAAATGAAAACTTGATTTGATTTATAAATCAGGGAACTTCAAATTGATAGTCAATCTCAAGTTTTTTAGGGATCTGGGGAACTCTCCTGCTTTGCTCGGTTGGTAATCCATCCTAGATTTTGAATGTCTGTTTATGATTTATCCACAGGAGTGACCAGCTGAATGTTGGAGACTACATCAAGTCAGTGAATGGCATCAACCTGTCAAAGCTTCGCCACGATGAGATCATCAGCCTGCTGAAAAACATCGGGGAGCGGGTCGTGCTGGAGGTGGAGTACGAGCTGCCTCCATTTGGTAGGTGAAGTTCTGCTGGAGTAACATTCTGCCTGAAAGTCTAATACATGCTTTAAAGGGGCCATATGAGGAGCATTTTCATAAATGTATTGTGTGCCTCTACTTGTTTACATGCTTTAAGATTTAATATGTGCTTTAATGTTCCTCATACTACCATTGCTGCAGCACTTCTTTTCACCCTCTGTTTGAAACCAGAGCCCAGTCTGCTCTGAATGGTTAGCCGGCTGGTTCTCTTATGATTGTCCCGCCACTTAGCCTATCACCTACAATGTGTTGGAGCGCTAGCCAATAGAAACGCAAGTGTTACATAGCGATGTCACTATGTCGCGGAAGTAAACCATGGAGTCCAGTCTAGGTGTTTCAGGTGTGTGGGAGAGAAACTCTGGGAACTTTGGGATTTTAGCCTATGCAGACCATTTACATGCACAAAAATGAATGCTTTGTATTTTCAAATGCAAAGTAGAAGTAGGAAATGGGTGAATAAATAAGCTTTTTAGTTAAGCCTGTAGAGTGTAGACAATAAAAAAACTCTGGTTTCTCATTTCTTAATGCATGGTTAAAACTGAGCTAAATGTGGTTAAAACATTCAGGTTACATACCACAGTTTCTTTTAGTTACATTTACATATTTGTGAAGCAGAGCGGTATAACCTAGACGTCTAAAAACTGAAAATGTAATTCAGCCCCGATTTAACCTCGACGTGTAGACATCTTCTGACCTGCAAATCATCAGATCAATACTTATTGGCTTTCACTGCCTCGGAAACAGAGTTGGTCCCCCGGCGCTGCTCCGTGGCTGCTCACTGCTCTTAAATCATTAGCATGAGTCAAATACATAGAATTAATTTCCCCACTAAGATTAATGAAACATATTTCCACAATCCATATTTGTTAAATCTCATGATTCAGCACTTACAACACTCAACATTATCATTATCATCAAGCTGCTGTGAAAGCTTTCTACATTTATTTTATGCGCATCCTTTGAGGATTGTGGTGATCATTTTTTGAATCTGTTCTTTCCTTAGTCCAGAACCCATCAGGCGTCTCAACCAAAACCATAGAGGTGTGTTTACACAAGGAGGGGAACAGCTTTGGGTTTGTCATGAGAGGTTAGTGGACGTGATTCTTGAATGTAAATCCTTGAATAAAATAATGATCTTACTGCGATGACTTATTTTGGTTGTATTTGTTGTTTTTTAGGAGGCTTCCACGAGGACTGGCGCAGGTCACGACCTCTGTTGGTTACATACGTCAGGCCTGGAGGTCCCGCTGACAGGTAAAGACAGACATATATAAGCTAGTGTTTTTTGTGTACACACTTTTTCTGTGGCTTCTATGCATTTTATTTCTGTTGACCATGCATGACTGAGTCTATTCAAATGATTGTATGTGTGCATGCATGCGTGTTTCCATACGGATTTAGATGTATAGACTCATGGATATGTGTTTTACTAATTGCATTATCTTTGTCCACAATAAAACATATTTACCTCATACCCATATGGAATTGTATTGTTAGGAATTACGCGTTTAAATCCTCAATATGTTTATATGCACATGCATCAGTCTACGCTGAGGCCGGTGCATGAAATTGTGGCGGTGACACATATAGAGTATCTTCAAAGCAGAAAGGGCACATCTCATCCTGAGGCTGGTGCAGCATCGCACTTATCCTTATACAAACCAAGAGTAAAACAAAACACTGGACCAAACATAATTCAACATCAAAGACATGACGTCCGTTTATCTCGTTTATCCTTCATCTCACCTGGGAGGGAACACTCATGTGGAACTGTTTAATGATTTACTGTGACTGGTGCTTGAACGCTTCTTTGAGCATTTTGCTCTAGTCGCCCGTGTGTTATTAATTATTATTTTCTTTCTTTCTTCTCCAGAGAAGGCACTTTGAAGGCAGGAGACCGAGTAGTGAGCGTAGACGGGATGTCTTTAAACAGGGAAAAGCACGCTGACTCTTTGACCATGCTGATGCAGAGCGGCCAGGAAGCTCTGTTCCTGATTGAGTATGACGTCTCTTTCATGGGTGAGCACACACACACAGGGAATATGTTGGGGGCATGGCAGGGCAGCGTGGCTCTGAGGGTAAATAATGTGGCCGTTTGGCTGCGTAGAGGAAAGTGTCGGTGCAGAAACAGAAAAAACAGAACAGAAAAGTGGAGATGGATAATCTTCATTGTTTTATAATAATGTACTGTATGTCCTCTCGTCATTCCTAAATTAAAATATTTTAAAGTAAATTAGGTGAATTTGGATATTGCCAGTAGAGTAACCGGTACATATTGTGTTATTTAGAGGCACATTTTACAATTCAAGTAGTTCTTTGTTCCACTCATTTCGACTCATTAGAATCAAATGTTGTCTAAAGGAATGCCCACCAACACAGATCAGTCTGATTGCGTCTTTATATTCTGAGTCAAGAAGTATCCTCACCATTGGGTCAACATTTAGTCAAATAAACCACTGAAGACTCACTACAGATTATACCCTCCGTTTGGTCACGGTGACTAATTCTCCATAAGATCACAAACTCTTCTCTATGCAAATTAGGGCAGGTCACCAAGGACATTCGACACACATTATCTCCCCGTTTTTGGGAGTTTAGGATCCAGACTTCCTGCCTCCAGACTGAACCGGTTCATAGATACTTTTAGAAGTGAGATCTGGAAAATGTGGATTTGTTCAGGTTAAGCTGGTTAAAGTTTATCTCAATTGATTAAAATGGTTCCTTGTAACAATGTTGGAATTTGCAAATCATTGAGTGCAATTATTCTAGCATTTTATACTGAAGCACACCACTTAATGTGTCCAGCAGAAACCTCTCACTGAAACAAAAAATACATTTCCCTTTGTAATTGTTTAAGTCAAGGCAGTGAAATTACTGTTTTGGAGCACAGAGACCAACAACATGTTTGTAATTCTCATGAGACTTACTTACAATAATCCAGTAACTCGTTATTCAAACACCAGTTGGAGATTGTTCAAAGCTTTATCACTGTCTATGGTCACCCCTCTTGTAAACCCCATCTATACCGTTAAGACAATTTATATATCAATAATGTAAAAGAAAACATATTAAAATGAAAGTACAGTAAAAAAAAGTACATATTGGCATTCAGAAGCGTTATGAAAAGATAAATGCCTGATAAATACAATTATTGTATTTATTTTAAACACTTATGTTTGAAAATGTGTGAATCCCTTTTTCAGAAAATAAATACTTAAACTAGCAAACATAACACTACTCATTATGAATGGCTCTTTTAAAAGTGTTACAATATTATACAATATAATCTTATTATATTTTTATCACAAAATATATACACGTAAGGGAATTTTAATGGTGTGATTTGTCAATGCGGTGCAATTTAAGATATATTGTATACGTCTGTAGATAAGTATTATATTAACAACATATTTCTCTCCTGAGATTGAATGGGGTAGAAGTATAACACAATATTTGGGAATACTCAAGTAACTCACAAGTATGAACAATTGCACTTAATTAAATTATTTGAGCAAAAGTACTTTGTTACATTCCACCACTGCATATATATTATGTATACATATCTGTTTGGCCTCTCTCATATCTGTGTGTGTTATCTGTTTCAGAGGCAGTGCAGCGAGCCTCGGGCCCTCTGCTGGTGGAGATAGTGAAAGGTCCCTCCTCCAGCCTTGGGATCAGCCTCACTACAACAATATACAGGAGCAAACAAGTTATTATTATAGACAAGATAAAGGCAGGCAGCGTGGTGGAAAGGTGAAACCAACCTCTCCCAGTACACTGCTACACAGACACTTCCCAATAAGCAACAGCTTCCCTGACCCACTCTGCCCTGCTGTCTCTCTCTCAGGTGTGGAGCGCTGCACGCAGGTGACATCCTTCTGTCTATAGACGGGACCGGCACGGAGCACTGCTCTCTGATGGAGGCCACGCAGCTGCTCGCCAGCACCATTGATGTCGTTAAACTGGAGATCCTCCCCGCCAGTCAGAGCAGACTTCCTGTCAGACCGCAAGACACAGGTATGTCCTGGAGGTGACACAAAAGCAAGCAAATGAGCAGGGCAATGCAATGGTAAGGCTTCACAGTGGATGGAATGACTCATTGTTTCAGCTCTAAAGCCTGTGATGTAGTTCAGTGTGTACATCGTGGAGAACACACAGTACACAGGCTGGCTTCAGTGTGTCGTCCTCACCATATGTGACGGCTCTGCTCTCAGCTATTCTACCTGCAGCTGTGAGAGCCTAGCTTTCTCACATGTACTGTGAGTCAGCCTGCGTGCGTGTGTGTGTGTGTGCGTGCATGCGTGCGTGCGTGCGTGCGTGCGTGCGTGCGTGCGTGTGTGCTGCTGGCCACAGTCCCTTTGGGTACACCCTCTGTTGGTACCAACAGGCCTTTAAATACTCAAACACACATGCACGTGCGCACACACACACGTTCTCTGTCAGAGATCATGTTCTGAAGACTTATTTCTGGGTCAGCAGCTGCAGGGCTCCTTAACATGTGAGCATGGGAGGAATCACACACCATGACAAAGAAGCAAGATGTAGTTTAATCTCCTCTGGTTGTCACTGAACCTTCTCTTCCATATCTTTTTTTCTCCTTTATTCAGTTCACAATTAGTCATTTTCAAGACTCCTCAGTTTAAACACTTGCATTTGCTCCTGTTTACTATTAATATCTCTTAATTCAAAGTGTAGTCTGTAGTGCATAACATCTCACTGAAATGCAAGGCATGCATCTTGTCTTCTGAAATTTCTATTAGATAATGACTAATTTCTTGAATAAGATGCCATGACGTTATGATAAAAACATATTTTCACGGCTTCTTCCCCCCCCCCCCAGGGTAAGGCATGATTATAAGATGCAATTTGTCTAATCTCCTCTGGGGATTTAATAAGACTGATATGGCCACCGAGAGATTAGTTGTTAACGCTTCTTTCCACCAGCGCTGATCGAAAACACAATTTTTTTAGAGCTCCCCCAAGGTGAGCTTAACATAAGCCGTCAGAGCCAAAGCTTCACAGGTTTGATGGAGTCCGATAGAAACTGGTTCTCCTTCTTGTATTCTGATTACATTCAGTTGGGTTTAACCAGGTTCCCTGAATATGGCAAGCGTCCCAGGCACTACTGCAGTCATCCATGTTTCAAGCAAATCCTCCATCCATGTGAGCAAGTTGTTGGAGATTAGACCCCTGCAAATGAAGCAGCACAGATTACTGTCACATGTAAAGCTCTGTGACGATTTTAGCTGCATGAATCTGTAAGGAAAGTTAATTATTGAGGTGATGTGTCATACAAGAGGTTATTTGTTTCCCATTTGAATGCTTTCCATACAGTTTGACTGTGTTATACAAGCTTGGACATGAGGGATGAGACGCCTTTCACAATTTACAATCTGCGCTCTCCATTTTATTCAAAGCAGAAGAAGTCAACACGGTTGCTACTTAAAAGAAACACATATGAATGAAACAGAATGAAATGAAAATGAGTGGAGCTGTCTGTCAAATCAGGTGCAGAACAGACACATCATCAGCAATCAAGCTTTCAGCTGTGTCCAATCAAGGTTGAGACACATGCCTCCAAACAGCCAGTACCACTTCCTGGTGATCACAGCACTGTGGTCAACTTATTCAACATCTTTTTAAACATTCAGGCTCTTTTGAATTCAATCCTGAAAATGATCTCTAGTCTGCACTTAGCTTTTTGGAAGCTTTCTAGTAAAAGTAAGATTTACTTTTTTTGAATCCACCACTTCTCATTCAGCTCTGTGTGTCTAGCTGATACTCAGATGCTCATCAAAATACATTAAACCGCAGGATATAATCTAGTGTTCCATGACGAGAACATTAAATATCAATTACTCTGCTCTGAATTACCCCCCCCCCCCCAGGCTCTGTGTGATGTGGTACATATTTAGACATGGGAATGAAAAGCGTGATTTCATGGTTAGGATTTAGAAAAGTGTACAGAAGAGGAGTGGATCTGGTTTACTTAATGGATGTGTTTGCCTCCGTTTCGCTGCAGTAAAAGTGCAGAAGAGCAACAATCATCACTGGGACCAAAGCAGCAACTACTGCCATCCCCCACATGCCAGCCACGGAAAGACATGGAGCAGCCCAAGCCACCCACTCAACCAGCAGGACCACTGCAAATGTAAGTTATCACTTGTGACAGCACTGCTGCTGGCAAGACACCATAGCAGGAGACTTTTTTTTCTTCAGAGCATTTGTTAAATCTTTTCCAAGAGCTTTACTCGAACACCGTTACTAGAGTTATCTCCTTTTGTTGTATGTTCCCACAAGCGTTTGCTGCTGCTGTGGACATGAATAAAATTGCCATGGTGATTTAGTTTAATCAGCCCTTTGATACGTGTAGTGCTATGTCTACTTTCAGCGGTGGTGAGCGGCGGCTTCTCTCCTTCCTCCACAGCCACCTCAGGCTTCAGCAGCCAGGGGAGCAACACGCTGCCCTGCCCCATCCCCCCCAGCAGCCCCCGAAACTCCACGGGCCGTAGGAGGAACAGGAAGAAGGACCACAAAAGCTCACGTATGATAAGCTGCATGCCCACCCTTTATTTCTTTTTTTATAACCACCTTAATGGGTCAGTTAAACCACATTAACCAGATCTATTATTTTGTCCACCCCATTTATTTGAAGGAAGTTAGTCTGAAGAACAGAAACACCTCATATGTTTAAATGTTACATGTTATAAATACACTAACATTTCATAACAAGAGACTGCATTACTTTTATCTAGATGTTCCTAATAATAAACTGACAACTGAGTGTATGTTGATTCGATTTCTACCTGCAAATTAAAAATAAGGTGAGAAAGATTTGTGTTTTGATGTTCTTCAGGATTGAACATTACTTTTCAGACATCTGTTTTATTTTTTAATTATCATTAGGAAGGGTTCATTTAAAGAAATCTCATTTCAATTTTTTTCCATCATTTCAAAAATTATAATCGTTAGTATTGTAATTAATTAATTAAAACAATTCTGGTACAAGATATCAACCCTATATGACAGACAAACAATACAACAAATGTATACCACTATTGTTTAAACTAACATTTATCAAGAGGGTAAGATGAGAATTATTTTTTCTGTATTCCTTATTTAGGTACCACCCTTTTATATATGTTTTTCAGCGCAGTTAAAACACCTTTCCTCTGTTTTGCCGCCTCAGTGTGTGAACAGATTTGACTGACCTTGTGACGTAAACATGACTGACGTAAACTCTGACAGCGACTCATTCCCTCCCCATTCCCACGTCATCTCTGTGGTCGCATGTCTCTTCTCTTTATACTCCACAGTTTTTGTCTCCCACAATCCCTCTCTTGCTCCATTTATCTGCCACTTCTCCACTAATATCTCTCTCTGATGTGTCCCCTCCCTCCCCCGCTGTTTATCAGTATCTCTGGCCTCCAGCTCTGTCGGGCCGGGGGGGCAGGTCTTTCATGTGGAAACGAGCGAGGTCATCCTGAGGGGGGATCCGCTCACAGGTTTTGGGATCCAGCTGCAGGGAGGTGTCTTCGCCACAGAAACGCTGTCTGCTCCCCCAGTCATCCGCTTTATTGAGCCCGACAGCCCAGCTGAGAGGTAACACACAGAGACACCTAACGAGTAAACAAGTATCCTATAGAGCAGGGGTGTCAAACTCAAATACACAGTGGGCCAAAATAAAAAAATGGGTACTAGTCGAGGGCCGTTTATTGCAAAACGTATTGAAATGAACTTATTGCCCATATTAAACCTGGAACTAACAAAGCTTAAATGATTGCCTATAAAAACAACATTAAATAATCAGTTGCATTCATTTCTTATGTCTCTATCTGCAGATTTTTCAGAGTCATTTCTTATGATTACATTTTTACACAGGGCCAACAACAGCTTCAAAAAAACTATTTCCCTCAAAGAAAAAAACAAACATGCCCTGTTGTCGCAAGAAGAAAATTGCAGAAGGAAACATCCATTGAAACTCAGTGTGCTGCTCTGTGATGCTAGCTCAAGCCAGATACTTGGCATCTCTTCTTGGGTGCAAGTTCATCAATGCTTGGGCTCAGGCTCTGAGCTGAGGAAATCCTCAGGATGGAGTGAAGGTGTGCGTGCAATATACCGGCGGGCCAGATCGAATAGTAATTAAAAATTATCCCCCGCCGGTATATTGCACGCACACCTTCACTCCATCCTGAGGATTTCCTCAGCTCAGAGCCTGAGCCCAAGNGGGCTGTCAAGTTAACGCATTAATAACGCCATCGCGTAGACTCCCACTACGCGATTAACGCATGTGCATTTTTTGTTCTCGGCCGCCCCGTAGTTTCAGAGCGCATAGAGTTTAAAATACCATCTATACATTCCAAGCACACTGCTGATGCCGATAGCCCCGCTCCTGCCGCCCGCTTGCAGCAGACCACACTTGAAACTGTGCGGGAGAGACGCCTGGACACGTCTACGAGCAGCAAACTTTGAACAAAGATCGCTAAATGGGTGGCTATAGCTTGCGAAAGTAGAGGAGGATTTAAGAAATACTTCCACAGTTGCGCTCACCGGAGACCATTGGACTTCACTCGGTAATGACAGTCACCTCGGGGTCACAGCGCATTATTTTGACCCACAGTGGGAACTTCAGTCTCATGCTTTGACAGTTATGAAAACAGAGGAGCGGCATTTTGCCGACACACACACACACACACACACACACACACACACACACACACACACACACACACACACACACACACACACACACACACACACACACACACACACACACACACACACACACACTGTATTGTATTATTGTATTGTATGAGAGAGGTTCCAGGTTGAATTGAGGCGAATATTTGTAATGTTCAGAGGTTGTTGTGTTTAATATTCATGATAATATTTGTCATTGTTCAAATGATAATAAACAAACATATAAAGCATATTTGTCCACTCATATGTTGATAAGAGTATTCAAAACTTGAAAAATATCCCTCTAAGGTACATTTAGAACAGATAAAAAATGTGCGATTAATCGTGATTAAAATTTTTAATCGACTGACAGCCCTAGTTAATACCATTATTGTATTTTAAGAGTTGAATTAGTATACAATGCCCTGTAAACTCTGTTAGCATTTGTAGCGAGCGTTTTCAGTTTTATCTGGTGTTGATAGTATGTCCAACTAAACCCTCCTTTGCTTGATTTCCTCCAGGTCGCCTCAAGAAGGAGCAGGCTCTAGCACGGATCTCTGATGAGAGTCTGGACAAGATCCCGGAAGAGGAGGAGGAGAGCCCCGTCTTTAGGGAGCTCCCAGGGGCCAAGGGCACAGACGAGGCCGTGCTGCCGCTCACCGGGGGGGGCAGTGACCGTGAGTCCAGCGGAGACCTCAACAACCTGGCTAATGGAGGCAACATCCTGCCAAACGGCAGGGCGTACGGTAAAACTGAAATAATATTATTTTTCAAAGACAACATTGACTTGGCAATGTGTTTCTAGCTAACTTCTTGAAAATGTATCAATATGTCTTGTGACTTTCGAGAGATACAATTAAATCAATCAATCAATCAAGATAGTTCATCCCTTTTCTTCCTGCAAAAGAATATTTATTATTTACATGTCTAGTTCCCTCTCGGTTTATCTATGTTTAGGGAAACCCGATGTCAATGTGCTGTGATAGTGTATCTCTTAACTTGCAAAAGTTGTGCTTCTACAACAACTTTCTATTCAAACTCTTTCTCCTTCAGGCCGGACCAACTCAATGACCAACGGCTGCCTCAAGTCCCCCATCTCTAACGGCAGCTTCACCTTCGATGGCCACATGCGCAGCGATGGCCAAGTTTACCACACAGTGCACAAGGACTCTGGTCTGTACAAAGACCTGCTCCACAAAATCCACGTGGGCCGCATGGACGAAAGCGACCGCTCTGGCTCCAACGCCGGCCCGGCAGACAACAACTACCGCCTGCTGCGGCGCAACAACAGCTACACCTGCTACACCGCGGCTATCTGCGGCATGCCCGTCCAGCCGCTCATTCGCTCAGAGTCACGCGACGACAGCGAGAAGCTGGTGGGAGAAGGAGGTGGCAGAAGCAACAGCGTGTCCTACACCAAGAAGAGGATACGCTACGATAGCTACTCGTCCTACTGCAACGCTGTGGCTGAGGCTGAGATTGAGGCCGAGGAGGGTGGGGTGGAGATGAAGCTGGCCACAGAGCTGGAAGGAGTGGATGAAGATGGGGCTCCCGCTCCGGTGCCTCTGGAGGACCTGGCCGAGGAGGAGGAGAAGGACAAGCCTGAGGTGTACCTGCTTTTCCACTTCCTGCAGATCCTCACCGCCTGCTTCGGCTCTTTTGCCCATGGAGGCAACGATGTCAGGTACTGCCTCCTGCTGCTCACAGGACATACAGCATCCCATACAAACACTGCACTCGTCTCCCTTGTAGCAGCTCATCTATTTCAAATCAAAATGTATTAAAAAAACTAAGTTCCAAAATTCACACAATCTTTTCTCACCTTACAAACAATTCTGCTTCATTCCATATTTGTTGGTGTTTATCCTTTCAAAAACTAAATTGTCACTGATGTTCTGAAAAGTTAACTTACCAATTACCGTACCTAAAGGGAGGTCCACACCTGTATGAACAATGTGCTCTAGAAGCAATCTAACAGCACATTGATATCCCTTTTTAATAACAAATATATATATATAACAACGAGGTCTTCAAGACTTTAAGACCCTCAATAGAAGCTTTGAATATAAAATAAAATAACAATACATGAAATACACGCCACACAAGGCCTTGTGTGGCGTATTAACAATAATATTAATTGTCACCAACAAATGGTGTTCCATGTCTAACACTAAAATAATTATCTTTTTATTCTCTCACCTTCGCAGTAATGCCATCGGGCCCCTGGTGGCGCTGTGGATGATCTACGATCAAGGGGGTGTGATGCAGGATGCTGCCACCCCCCTCTGGCTGCTGTTTTACGGCGGTATAGGCATCTGCGTTGGCCTGTGGGTGTGGGGCCGTCGAGTCATCCAGACCATGGGAAAAGACCTGACCCCCATCACCCCGTCAAGGTGAGAAAGCCACCACATGGGGGGGGGTGGGGGCCAGGGGAGTCTAGGGCTGTATTTTGTAAATGGGTGAGAAAAAAAGTGTTTATACGGAGGAGGTCAACTTTTCAACTTGTTTCAAAAAGCCTCGACATGCTGACACACACAGGTCCATCCAGTGAAACAGCGTCCTTGGTGAGTGTTTGGTGCACACAGCTCCATTAGAATGCACACACACATTTTAATAAAGTAATTTAATGTCATTGCAGTTCAACAGTTAAATCCACTCTGCTGGCAGCAAATTGCAGCACAATCATGATTAGAGCCCCTGCTCTGTTTCCTCTGGTGCTCCCTGTTATAGGTACAGTAAACTTGTCTGACTAATCAAGGGCGTTTGTTTGAGCATGCACTGATTATCCACTCTCTACTCCCCAAGCAGAGCTGCCACTGCAGGAAAAAGCATTTTTACCACACATGCGTTTTGCAAGTACAATGTTGTACTTACATTATCAGTTTGATCTCTTAAGGCTTACATGATAATTATATAAAAATATCTATATCAAGAGGGCAGACCTTTTTTTAATATTTTAACAAAATGTATTCACATATTACCGGACAAGTAAACAGTATTTGATGATAAATATGAACATCTATATAATATAAATGTAATTGAATCTGTTGACAGTAATCACAGTCTTCCTACTTGAACTGTTATGTATAGAAATCTGCTGTAATCATTTCTTCTGCAGTAGCCCTTTGTATAGAGAATGAAGTAAGAATGATTCCTTTTTCTTCAGACCTTCTTCACCTCTTACATAATAATTCAGAATAAATAACAAGTCTTATGGGCGACAACACAGGAAGCCCTGGGGCGAACTAAATCCTACAACCTTAGCAGCGGACATCACGCAACATAAACCCTGCTGCTGCTCTGCCCTTTAGATTGATCTCTCGTTCTCTGTCCCCTCGTCTTCCCACGCAATGAAGACTGTGTGTGTGTGCATACCTCAAGGATGTTAGTGTGTATCGTGTCAGCTGAAGAAAGCTAGGCTCTATGCCTGCAGGTCGCTGTGTGTGAATGTATCCATGCACACATATTCAGGGATAATTGGTCCAGCTAGTGTGCGTGTGTGCTCTGTTGCCTGTCAGGAACATCACACTGGGTTACAGGAAGTTGTTTGGCACTGTGGATGAGGAGAAGTAGAGCAGGAAGGGTGAGGGAGGGGCCGCAGTGGGAACCCTGGCCTCTTCTCCAACCGCAGCGAGGGCCGCCAGCCTGACTCCTTCTCTGGCACTTTCCTTTTTTCCCCTCTGTCTTCCTCCTTTTTTCATGCTCTTTCCTCTCCTGTAAATCTTTTCCTTTTTTCATTTGGAATCAACCCTCTTATTATTCTCCTTTCCTCCACTGCTTCCTTTTCTTCCTTCCTTTCCATTTTCATATCCTCGCTGCATCTTTGTCTTGTTCTTTATCGTCGTCTCACCTCTAAATCTTTCTCCCTCTTACCCAGAGTACCCCAATTGTTCTCACTCTCATTATTTCTCCAACTTTCTTCATTTCTCCTCCTCCTTGGCCCCTCTCTCTTGCTGTGTGCCTCCTTTTCTTTCTTTCTTAATCGCCCTTCTTTCCATCACCAGCTTAGTCTTTAGCGGGGACTCAAAGACAGACAGATTTGCTCTGGTTCCAAGTTCTAAAGGCTCTCTTCCCTCCACTGTCTGTTTCCATGCATCAATCTGACAAAGAAGTGTTTTTGGGTCGAGGGTAGGAAAGTGTGTCAGACTGTGGCTGCCTAGCATCCTAGCAGGCACAGTGGACACTTCAACATGGCAGTGTATCACAGCAGTAAAACTTATTTTTATAAACATGAAATATGGATTTCCAGCCAGCACTCTTGTTGAACCACCACGGGACAGACTGAGATGGTGACAAAATGTGACCGGTCCTCTGGAAGATGAATTGTTACAAAAGACGTTTCTCCAAAGAACAAGTGTAAAACATTATATAACTGATGGCTTGAACCCATTCATCTTTCTTACTGCCTTGATGTGAGACATGCCGTTTTTTTTTTCTTTGCCTTTTGCTAGGGAGCATTTGGTAGCTGAGCGCTGACAGGAAAATGTAGAGAGAGAGAGAGAGAGAGAGAGCGAGAGAGAGAGAGCGAGAGAGAGAGAGAGAGCGCGAGAGAGAGCGAGAGAGCGAGAGAGAGAGCGAGAGAGAGAGAGAGAGAGAGAATGACATAGTCCCCCCTGACCAGTCTTGAACTGGGTATGATGCAATCACATAGTCTGCTTCTTAAACCCCCCCAGCCCACCAGGACATCAAACACCAGTCTTAAATATTTCTGCACATACAGTTGGGGCAAACGTCCTTTCACAGATGGGTTCAAGTGTAGTCCTGATTTGTATCTCTCGTGCTATTTTTAAATCTTTAATTTACCTCCCAAGTGAATGGCCAAATGTTTCTTTGTGTGATGGGTGTGTGTGTGTGTGTGTGGGGGGGGGTCTTTTCAAGTGCGCCCACTGGTCTGGTGTCAAAGTGTGAATAATGTTATGGAAAATTGGACAGAATTGTCTCCTGATCAGCACGATTTAGATGGTCTTTATTAGTTGTGTACAAACATATAGGACTTGTAGAAACGCTGTGTATATTGGGTGTGGGTGTATGTGTGTCAGAGGGATGAAATGTTGTTTCTTTTGTTCAAACTGCTCTATTATTGTGTTACTATGAATGTGGGCCGTGGCATCAGCAGCTCAACCCAGATATTACAATGAAGGATGTCTCTTTGTTCCCCCCTCCCCTCCCTTCTCCACAGTGGATTCACTATTGAACTGGCTTCTGCACTCACAGTCGTGTTTGCTTCCAATATCGGAATCCCTGTCAGTACCACACACTGCAAGGTATGAGCGAGGGGCCTCCAGCTGGTCTCTCAACCCCCCTTACAGGCATTTCCAGGGGAGAGGGAGCTCATACTGCCTCCCAGGGTTCTGGGCTGGGAAATACTCTTCAACTAAGCCGTTGAATTAATATTAAAGCAATCTGTGTACATCACCTTTTCCCTGGTCGAGTACGCAAAGATGCCCAGGTCATAATGCACCTCAGGGATGACAACGTTTACATTATTTTCACTTTGTTAAAAGACAATCAAAACATTTGGGTCAGTACCCAGCCCCCTGCAGCAGTGTGCAGCCCCTCCCCCCTGTTTCTTTGCAGGAACATCGGATCCAGGCTGGAAGACGTTGCGGACCCTTCCACCAACTCTCTCCCATTTTGCCCTCTCAGCACTGGCATGGTTTGGTGTGTGGGTTATCCGCCCTCCAAACACCCCCACCCACAGCATCCTCCCCAACCCCCCCTGCCACACTTGTTTTCCTCTTTTTTACCTCTCCCTCTCCATCTTTCTGTCTCTCCACTCATCTGTTTTTACAGCGGATTTTGCATTGAAGTAATGAGTGCGCTAACAGTGCTTGTTGCATCAAATGTGGGCATCCCAATAAGCTCCACCCACTGCAAGGTATTGGTGTCATTGGTAGTGAAGCCCCTTCATCGCTTCACCTGTAGCTGTCAATCGTCAAAGCCAATCACAACTCCTGAAGGTGCTGTTTTGACTTCTGCAGTTCTCCTTCAGCAGCAGACCCTACACAAATGTATGACATTTTATGGAAGATTGTTAGACACAGAGCAGTATATTACAAGTGTAAAGCTATTTAACTAATTGAAAGCAAAGAGACTCGTGTATCTTCCCGCGAAGTTTTATAATTTATTTCACATTCTTCCTGTAGCCATATTTTTGATCTACTCTTTGGAGTAATCTTTACCGTCGCAGCATTTTATGTCAGACACTATTCTGCTATTCTCAGTGAGTCTGAGAGGGGCTGTTAGGTAGACAGGGAGGCGTGTGGTGCAGTGGGTTGTTTGTTGGTGTTGGGATCAGGGGGTCACAGGTTCAAACCCCACTGCAGTCAGCATGTTGTTGTGTCCCTGGGCGAGACACTTCACCCCAAATTGCTCCTGTGGGGATTGCCCAAAGTGTTGAGTATATAAGTCGCTTTGGATAAAAGCGTCTAACAAGTAACATGTAAACAAAGGGCTGTCTCAAACTATCTTTTATCTCCAGTTATAACCCTCCTATCTCTTTAAAGATGGATTACCCAATCATCTTCTTGCTTTAAAATAACAACTAGCCCTACAAAGAAAACAAGTCTCTCTCAGGTGTGGTTTTATTCTGGAGTTAAGACTGTGCCACTGAACCTGCTCATTCTAGGTGTGCAATGCTGGGAGAAGAATAGCTGTGACTGTGTTGTTTTTATATATATAAAGAAATACTGAATGATTTAACAGATGTATTTTTACAGTCTGTATTAGAACTGGTCAGATATGAAGATCGCCTCGTTTAACGCACAGAGGTTCGGACAGACCAAAGTCTCAGATCCAGACGTCCTGTCAGCTCTTGTCAAGGTAACATTCCTATTTGGTAGACATTCTTATTCAGTAAAAGATCTGCAATGATAACGATAAGGCTGTCGTTTGGAAAAAGCATGGTTCGTGTCACTTTTTTGTGGTCTTTGGGATGCAGCCAAGAACGAACAAGTAATAATTGGCGGTTTGAATTATGAAGTGTAAAATGTTTCCTTGATGACATCTTGTTAATCACAACTGCTTTTGATAAGGCTGTAATTGATTACATTTGAGAGAAATAAATATCACAAATGACATGCGTTAATATAATGTGTCCTTTCTCGTCTTTTGTAGATTGTGTCACGATACGACATCATAGTGATTATTGAGGTGGTGGATGTGACCGGAGCTGCTGTCAAACTGTTCTTAAAAGAACTAAATGAGTGAGTTAATTCTTCTTTTTTAAAGAACATATGTTTTTTGTTGTTTTAACTATGCGAGCGCGTTCTTGATTGTCTTATCAGAGTCAACACGACCCATCACTATGCTCTGCAGCTCAGTGTCCGCCTGGGGAGGAACAGATACAAGGAGCAGTTTTTGTTCCTTTACAGGTAAGATCAAATCACTTTGCCAGACTTTAATACTTTTGAAAAGTTACCATCAAACTGCACTAAAATACATTTGTGTCCCACTAAAAGGGATGATGTTGTTGATCTGGTTGACAGCTATCAATATGAAGACAACCAAGTGAACGACATGGATGCCTTTGCCAGAGAACCATATATTCTCCGCTTTAAACCACACAACACAGGTCCGTCCTACCATGAGTATAAGAAAAACAGGGTGTTGCAGTTTGGATATCAAAGTAATGACATACTCGCCATAACACCTGTGTTGCGTCTGAGTCATGTCTATATATGGACCGAAGCAGAGGGCAGGTATATCAGGTTATGTCAGTCAACGGCTCCGGTGTGCGTTCACATGTAAGATAAGAGGTGGGGAAATATCTTGTAATTAAGTAAAAGTAAAAGTAAAAGTACCAGAGTGTAGGAATACTCATGTAACAAGTCCTGCATTCCAAATCCTAATATATTAGCATAAAAATGTACCAGAAGTAAAATAACTCATTATGCAGATTGGTCCATTTCAGAATAATATATATTATATGTTTTGATTATAATTATTGATGCATTAAAGTGTTATCAAAGCTGGTAAAGGTGCAGGTAGTTTTAATTACTTTGTATACTGCTGTGTAGCTTGTGAATTTACTCCAGGTGTAACTATTGACTTAGTTAAGTGTTGATTACATTTTACATAATTAATCCACATCTGCAAAGTAACTAAAGGTGTTAATAAATGTAGTGGAGTAAAAGTACACGATTTACCTCTGAATTGTAGTGGAGTAGAAGTACAAAGTAGCAGAAAATGGAAATACTCAAGTAAAGTAAACGTATCTCAAAATGTTACTTAAGTACAGAACTTGATTAGATGTACTTAGTTACTTTACACCACTGTGTGAGATACGTCGTGACGGGGCATGTAATCGGAGAGATGATCATTTGTTTCTGTCTGTGGTTGCAGTGCTGAAGGACATAGTGCTGATCCCGGTCCACACCAAGCCGTGGGACTCTGAGAGAGAGCTGGATGAGCTGTATGAGGTCTGTCTGGTCGTCAAAGACAAATGGAAGACTGATGTGAGTTGCATGATGTTCAGTATTCAAGTTTCACGGTTTCACCTAAAAGAAGTGCTTTAATATGTTCAAAGTGGACCAGATTTATTACCATAGAGTGGAAAAAAGTATTCTAAGCGGATATAAATGTAACATAGGTAAATCTGTGATATAAACATTCAGGTAAATAAAGTCAAGCTTAAAGTCATAGCAAAATACTTGAATTGCTTGATTTACTGTAAATAATCAAATTGAGTTGAGTCTGCTTTACAAAATAAGTATTATACAAAGAATGGTCCTGCTTTATCTACATAATAACCTGCAAAAAGCTACTATAATTTTGAAATAGATTAAGCAGGTTATTTGTTTTAATCAAGGGACATAACTTATTTTATACTCGCATACAGTATCAGAGGAATCACACAAACTGTATGAGCTATAAAATATGTTTAAATAATGTTTTGACATGGCTTTCTTGATTACATTTATTTTATCAGCACTCAAAATGGCAATTTCTGATTTATTTTAGAACATAATGATCCTGGGAGATTTCAATGCAGATGGTGTGTACGTCACCCCTAAGGAGATGCAGGAGATTCGCATCCGCAGCGACAAGAATTTCCATTGGCTAATCCGTGATGACGTGGACACGATGGCAAGAACGTCAAACGAACACACCTACGACCGGCATGTGTTCATTCATAAACATCCATAAATTCAGAGGACATTACTTAAATTGTGGCATACTATTTCTGTCAGGAAGAAGCATTTTTGACCTTATATTTAAACAATGGAATACATTTATTTACCACAGGATTGTTGTGTATGGAGAAGATATGCTTACAGCCTGTGTGCCAAACTCAGCCAAGCCATTTCATTTCCACAAAGAGTTTGCTATGACTGAAGAAAAGGTGAGTTGTCCCTCATACTGCATCTCATTGTCTCTGTACCTATTAAAGTTACATCTCATCTAATAACCAACATGTTCTGCACTTGCATAACTTGTTTCTCTTTTTTTGTAGCAACATTTCTCACTCATTATGTGCATCCTCCCACAGGCCCTGAGGGTGAGCGACCACTACCCTGTGGAGGTAGAGTTACATAAAGCCCCTCCTTTCTGGATGACAAAGAGCAACCGAAGATGTGACAGTGTTGATTCATCAGTTCACAGAGCTGCCACAGGTAAAAAACATAACTGTATATTACTGACAGACATGAATTTAAGTATGTGGGAGAGGTGCAAACAGTACTTTGATTAGACATTTCACTGCAGTGCCGCCCTTTTCAAAGACAGTCATGCACATAATGAAAAGGAATGCTTGGAATTTGGGAGTGTTTCTAGTACAAAATAATTAGTAAAGCTTTAGTCAAAAGCTTTACTTTCGAAAAGCAGAGGCTTTTAAAATGTTTGATAGGAGAAATCTGTTTTTAAACAATTGAAATGGCTTTATCGTGATGGTGCAGAAAAAAACTTTTTTTTATTAAGTCAAAGATGTCAATTAATTGTTTAAAATGAGAGTCTTGTGATTTGTGTACCTGCTTTACATTTTGTGATTGATCAATTCCAATGCTTCTACAGAAATCTCAGTAAACACCAAAACCAATAATATCCTGTGTACTTCCTTTGTGTGCAAAGCCTGAGTGATAGAATCCTTTGTGCCATGCTGTAGACCTTTACTACAAAGCCAAACCACGGTTACGCTAGTCAAATTTAGGTCAAAATCAGAAATGACTTTTTTTCATCCATTTGTTTTAAACTATTAAAACTCACTTCAATTAGTTTATATCCAACAGCCTTACTCACGGGAGCGCCAAATCCAAGGCATGAAATATTTTCCAAAACATACACTCTTTCTCATGTTAAAGTAAAGTTCAGTAAAAACTGGGGTCAGGCTGTTTAAAGTGGTCTTCAGACGAAATGTGCTTGGGGATGAAGTCTCTGACAAGGCAGGAAGTTGAAAAGTATTTAGAGGCACAAACACACTTCAATGTGTTTTCCTCTCTCTTTACTTTTTTTTATTTTGCTGAAAATAACAACAGATTACAATCAGCCTTTAAGATAAAAGCATAGTCTACTAACATTTGTGTTTATTTTCTCTTGTGTACATATTTCTGGAGATTTCAACCCAAACATTGAGGCACTAAAGCCCAATATTTTGCGAGACCATGGCAATTTTAACTAAAAGCTGAAAAAAGGAATCCAGTGACAGTTATTACACACTATGCCTGTAATTAATTAAGTGTTTTTTTCCTCTTACAGAAAGTCTGCAGGATGATGTGTTGAAAATGCAGAAGGAAAACCTCCTGCTGGAGCGAGAAAAACTTCAACTACTGATCACTTTATTAAAACAGCGGCTTTCCACACTCAAGCTGGAACAATGACAAGATCTCAAACACGACTGATTTTGCTAAGCTGTATTTTTTAAATAAATAATGGTTTCACAAATGAAAGGTGTCCTTTTTATATGTATCTAATCAGATAAATATCAGTGGATGAAACATCGTGGCCTGACTGTATTTAAGGTTTGTCTGGCCCCAGTGAGAGGAATGGTGTGCACTGGGGAGGGATATGGTTCACTTGAGATTTCTTGACCACATAGAATTTCATTTGACCTCCTAAAGACTGCTCTAGTAGTTGAGGCCGTTCCATCAGGTCAGGTGCAATAATTATATAGGAATGTTGTTAGGTTTGCACCAAGATGCATTTATTTCGCAAACCCAGCTGAACTGGTAGAAATGTGTCTCTCAATAGACACAAAACATTTATGCAGTTTTCAAAGAGATCCTGTCTAAATTCCATATTCAGCATTTTGCATTCAGTTTGTAATATATGTTGGAAGAAGGTTACTATGCATTATCATAAATATCTAATTGTTATTAAAGTTAAGGAAGTGTCATTCACAATTGTCATGAACATTAACCTGCAACTATTTAGAAATAAAAAAAGTCATACCAAGAATAGTTCTGTGATAAATATTCAGAAAACACAATTGTTGGCATTGTTCTCAAGATATTCTGGAAAGACCTTTGCAGATTTGTCAATCATCATTTTAAAACTAAAAAGTGTTTTTTCAAAACTAAACAAATAATAATACATGTGATAATGATTTAAGCATTTAAAAAAAGTTGTGAATGTAAGGAAAACATAATATTGGTGTGAGCAATATGTAAAACTATTGTCTAATTTGATAATCAAAAAGTCTACCTAGACAGATAATATATGTATGTTTTATAATATTTTAGTGCAGAGTGAAATACCCCTGACTCTTTTATTTGTTCTAATTGTATATCATGTCCCCGGTATACTGAATATGTATTGTGTTATTCTGTTAATGATAAAAATGAGATGGAATGGATGATTGGTTTGTCTGGGCTATTGGTCAGACAGTGACATTATGAGTTTATAATGATGATTTCTAAAAACTTCAAAAAATAAATGTTTAAAGAGCAACTGTACATTTATTTTGGTTCAGTGTTTACCGTAGTAAACAGATGTTTTTGCAAAAGGCTAATAGTGTTATCGAACGTGTGCTACATTCAAGTGACTGGCGTAAACGCCAATATCCAGCGTTCTGTAGCCGTTAAAAACGACCTGACACTTTAGGCTATTCAAGTTATATATCTGCGGTTATAAATATAACACTACATTTAAGTTGATTTTGTTAGATTACATGTATACGTTTTAAACTCTTGTAATGTAAAAATAATAATACAGCGTTACATGACCTTTGAAGGAAAAATATAGAGAATAGTAAACGCTTGCTGTCGTGTGGATTCTTAATTTGCGGTTTTCTTTGCACAGCAAGTGAAGTGAACACGCATTAGACACGTGACTACCGGACCACTTCCACCACAACACGGAGGAGGAACCCTGCAGACTGTCAACAACATTGCAACAGAGCTGACAGTAGGGTACGTCCACACAGCAGCTTTAAAAAAATCTTCCAACTCGCCGAACTGCATTGTGGGGAAGCGAAGCGAAGATTTACAGGATTTTCAGGATTCAAAAGTTGAGCAATGTTCAACTTTTGAAGCTGAGCTGGAAGCGTCAGTCAATCAAATCCCGTTTATGCAAATCTGACAGTACAAGTGCTAGCTGCGTGCAAGCTGGGAGAGCCAGACCGCAGTTCATTTCCTCATATTCCAAACGAGAAATTACGGTAGCAAATCACCCGGTTCGTTACGGCAAGTACTATTTACCGGGATACAAACCGGAGGAACAAGGCATGGAGGGAGGTGGCAGAGACAGTGGGTGAAACTAGTAGGTTTTCGCCTGTTTGGGGAGTTTATATATATATATATATATATTGGTCGCATAAAACCCCCCGGGTTTTTTGCTTTGTATGCCGGGGGCGGGAGATTCATGTGATTGGTTGTTGGTCGCGTTGTTCGCGAAAAATCCCCAAGCTCTCAGACACGCCCAGCTCCAAGATTTTCAAGATTTTTTCAAAGCTGCTGTGTGGACGTACCGTATGCAAACTTTTACAACATCGAGCAAACCCTGAAGCTACACAACATCATCGCTGACCTGTCCTGCAGACAGGCCGTTTCAATGCATCACAAAGGACCGAAAACACCGCGGCGATCATGGATGTTTCCGATCTGTTTAGTAGTTGCAAAAAGGGCGACATTTTTAGAGTCAGGTAAACAACGGCTCAGCTGACGTTTTTGGCTTGGATGTCTTTGGTTGAGTGTTATGACTGCATTCGTATTCTGTTTTCCTAATTTCTGTCTTACAAAACATGTCTTATGTATTTGGCCTGCACTGCACGTTTTGCAGGTAAACTCTAAGCTAACTGCGTTGTTATTGCAAGGTAGACATTGAGGTAAACACGGAAGGGTTGCTAACTTTAGCTCTTTATGACCCAGCTGGTAACTTTAGCTGTCGTTGATGTTTGTAAACCACTAGTATAGTTTGTTGATACAGCGTAGTTAAGATACTATCTGTCAGTGTTGGATGGCCTATTTACCAGACATTAATTAATGCTGTCCAGCACCAAACCTTAAATCATTTAACATAAAAATAAAAATAATGCTGATTTAAAAGCAATTTAATGCATAAACATATTTTAACTTAAACTGCTAGTGGCTACTTCTCTTTTTCAAATTCTATTTCCAACAGAAAAAACTCTTCCTACAATTTTTTTTTGTACAGATATAATGAACTAAATACCAACAAAATGTTGAGACTGAAGTCCCAAAAACAAACTATCTGAGATCACTGTACATCTCTCTGCCTGCTGCTAATAAGCTCCTAATTGGCCATATTTAAAAGCTGCACCATGTAACAACACCTTCTATATACCTGTTAACAGCAAGATATTTGATATTCTATCTAACCAGAGCCACAGAACATTAAACAGTCCCTCCTTATTTGGTGTTTTTTCTTTCTTTTTCTTTTTTACAGACAAACCGACTGCAATTACCTGCTAATTATCAGTACAATACCTAGCTTAACTATCGAGATTTCCAAACTTGTTGGAACAAGGCGACAAACCAGCATAGAATAAAAAATGAAAATCAAAGTGGTCATCAGAAAATGCAGCTTTATAACAAATAAACCTTATTTTTTTAAAAGTATGCAGCCATGTGAAAAGTGCCTCCACCTTGCATTTTGCTGCAGTGTGATGCACCCTTTTGATTTTCTCTCAAAATGTTTGACATAACATACATTGTAGTCAGATTCTGGTTCGTCACTGTTAACACTTATTTATTCTCTCTTTCAGATACCTTGTTGAACAAAGAGATGTGGACCTCAATGTGAGAGATAACTGGGACAGCAGCCCTTTGTAAGTACAATTTAAGGAGGTAGTATAATTCTCTGGATAACACACAATCATTACACCTCCAACTTAAAATGTGAACACTTTGCTCCCCAGGTATTATGCTTGTCTCTGTGGCCATGATGAGCTCGTCCAGTACCTGTTGGCTAGTGGTACGTTTGATTATGTAATGCAAACATAATAAAAGCATAAAAACGATATAGTGTGATGTCAGCATTATAAATCACAGTGAAATAAATGTTCTGTAGTATAATCAGTTGTATTCTTTTTGCTTTGCGTTCAGGCGCTAGGTGTGAGGCCAACACGTTTGATGGCGAGAGGTGTTTGTACTGCTGTCTGAATGACTCTGTTCGACGCCTGCTCAAAGACTATAAGTGCATCACTGTGCGCGCCATGCAGCGGGATGATTATAACTACTTCCTGCACATGTAAGTTTGCCATTCATTTAAAATAAATATATTCTCGAGTTAAAAGAAACAAGAAGAATGAACTGCAAAAGCACAGTTTAGTACCTTTTAAAGTTTGTCTTGAATCTATGGCTCCCACAGGATTGTTGACATCCACCTGGATTCATCTACTAATTTATAGACACATGCATTTTCAAGCATTTTGACTACCTGTGTTGTAAATGTATTATCTTTTCAATGTACACAAGGCATCTATTGCACATCTGTCCGTCCTGGGAGAGGGATCCCTCCTCTGTTGCTCTCCTCGAGGTTTCTTCCATTTTTCCCCATTAACGTTTGAGTTTCTTTAGAAGTTTGTTCTTGCCCGATGTGAGGGTCCAAGGACAGAAGGTGTCATATTCTGTACAAACTGTAAAGTCCACTAAGACAAATGTTAAATGTGTGATATTGGGCTATATAAATAAACATTGATTGATTGATAAATATTTGTGCTTTTGCTTTCCAGGTTACTGGAGCAGGGTTTACAGAGCGATGTCAAGTTCCTGGTTCATGGACAAATATTTACAGCCCACCGATGTGTTCTCAGTGCACGCTCAGAGTACTTCACTGATATGTTTGAGACCAAATGGAAAGGGAAGAACCTGATCACACTCAAACATCCATTGGTAGGTAGAATTATGTATTCTGTCTGATTCAATTAGATGTTTGTTGCTAATATACAAACGGCAGGCATATCTTGTTTATCTACATCTGTATGGTTTGATTTCAGGTGAACCCTGCTGCCTTTGGAGCCATCCTGCAGTATTCCTACACTGGTGAGCTGACAATATTTTGCCTTCTACATTATATTCTACGATACGATACGATAAGACTGTATTGATCAAGACTGAAATTTGACTTGCATCACAGCAGCTCCATGTCCAACACCAACATAGACACATATCCAGACACAATACATGAAACACAAACAACGAATATTTAACATAATATCACAATTACTGAGAGAAAACATTTTCATTGGTCACAGTATTAAGACTTAGCAAGAAACTTTAGTCCGTCTGTTAGTTACAAATATAATTCTGAAATAGAGATATCCTTCATGATAAATACAAAAAACTATATTTTCCATAAACATTTAGTTTTTAATAGATTATTATTGTAACATGTAATTTGAACTTCATACAAAATAAGATTCAATTCAAGGTACCTTTCAAATATACCGTAGGTTTAGCATTATATTATGTCTGCATTATGACATTATTCAGGGGCCTATATGAACATGGAAAACATTTCCTAATTCTTCCAATAATGATTTTAATGTAAGTGATGAGGGAAAAGGAACACAGTCCTTCATAGAGAAGGAAAAAATAAGCACTTTAAAGTCCAATATCATTAGAAATGTGAATACAGTCATGTTTACATACAAACTGCCATGCTTACTGGTCTACTTTATGTGTAGTCATGTCAAGCAGAACAATTGAAAAGTTCAAGAGTCAACCTCTTTTCGTTCATCCTCTTTCCTTATGTTACAGGACGAATGGATATCGATATAAGCCTCGTGGAGGACTGCACACGACTAGCTAAACAGTGTAAAATGGAAGACTTTATCGAGGAAATGGAGAATAAATGCAAACAGTTGTATGAATTTGGTAAGAAAAGCTCTCTTGTTTCAGGTTCCTACCAAGGCTTTGACTTTTTCACTCTTTAGTTATGTGACGTCTGACCTGTCTTTTTGTCTTTCCTCACACTGCAGTGTTCAACAAGCCAGGAATCTGTGTCAAGGTTCTCAGCCTGGAGCCTCACATCTCTCAACTTCAAGAGGAGATGGCTCAGTTAGCAGACTGTGCACTTCCCACTGATCTAAGAGTAAGGATACTTACTTAAAATCATATTTTAATGGGATAAAGGATCGGAGTCATCGGACCTCTGGATATGAAGTTATCAGAGAATAAAGCTAAGTTAGCGCCCTCTGTCCCCCAAACAGCTTCAGATAATGAACAAAGGCAAGGCAAGACACGTTTACTGATATAGCACCTTTCAATTCCAAGTGCTTTACAAAAATGAAATACATTAAGAGCATTAAGAAATAGTGCAGCGGAAACAAACACGTTACAAAAAAGGCATTTAAAAACCAAAGAGAATAAAATAAACATAAAACAAGCTAATTTATCAAATACAAGAATAACAGTTACAGTGCAGCGTAAGGAAAAAATCAAAGTCTTCAGCCTGGTTTAAAGAAGTAAGAGTTGCAGCGGACCTGCATGTTTCTGGTAGTTTGTTCCAAATATTTGGGGCATAACAAAATTCCCATGATCCAATGCTACCTCGTGCTGTCTTTTGTTATTGTTTTGATTGAGAGACCCCTACTTAGTGACAGGAAATTACATAATGTGAGTTTAATAAGACTATTTTGACTTGTCTTTATCCTGTTGAATCTCTTGCCCAGGTTGGATTTGGTGAACTTCCCTTTAACGGAGTCGACCGCTTCCCTACCTATCCTGACATCTGCTTCAGAGTCGATGGTTTCGACTTTCTATGTCACAAGGTACAGCAACAAAGCTCACACAACATTCCTGAGGTATTTTACAAAACGCTTGTCATTCAAATGAATATTAAAGTTTTTATTGTGTGTGTCTCCAGGCGTTTTTCTGCGGACGTAGTGATTATTTTAAAGCCTTGCTGGAGGACCACTTCAGTGAGGGAGGGCAGCTGCAGTCCCAGCCCAGCACTCCAGTGATTACTTTACACAATATTTCCCATGAAATATTCATCCACGTCATGTATTACATCTACACTGATAACACAGAGGTTAGTGCACAATTTAAGTCTGATATCATTTTGTGGAATTCATTATCAAGGATGCAAACTTATAATTCGGTGAGAAAAATGGCTTGTGAGTGCACCAGACAAGGAGTCATAACAACAGACAAGCAAACAAAGGCATCACCTCCAGTTCATGGCTAACAAACTACCTACTGTTAGGTATAAGGCTTTAAAGAAATAAAAAGTGTGTGTGCATATAGGTGTGTCACAAATTATAGTTTAACTATATATTGTTTAATTATCGCTACATTATTTGATAGCAATACTAACTATTTTAAGAGCTCTTTTTGCTGTATTTCATATTAAATCCGTAATTTATTTTACACTTTTAAACTTTAGACATCTATAACCATTTTTATATTAACAATGGATCACATGAATACCCACTAAAGAGTATGACAAGACTCTGAATGCTAATGCAGCTCCATGTCTGCTGGATGTATAACTAGGCAACTGAATGCTAACAGGTGGTTAAATGTTATGTTTACAGTTGTTTCCACGGTTAATGTTTAAAAATGGACTGATTATCTTTTATGTCCAGTTAATTACAGAGGATGTTTTTGATGTGCTGTGCGTGGCCGACATGTACCTGCTGCCAGGGCTGAAGCGTCTTTGTGGGAAGACTCTTGCAAAGACTATTTGTGAGGACAACGTTCTGTACATGTGGAAGATGGCAAAGCTCTTCCGTCTCTCTCGGCTTGAAGATCAGTGCACCGAGTTCATGGCCAAAATCATTGAGCGGGTAGGTGTCTATTTCCCCATGTTGAGACTGGAAAGGGCTTTATTTTGGCTCGATAACAACAGTGTCTGTCAAGTCACAGCGGGTGGCTCAAGGGCAAACAACACTACATGTCTTTATGTTGAATATGAACCTGGAGCCAGCAGCTGTTTAGATTCGTATAGCATGAAGACTGAAGGCGGGGAAAAAAGTAACCGCTCCTGGCAAAGAATAGTTTGGCACCTAACTAACCATAAAACCAAATTTGGTTATTTTTACATTTTGGGTACAGTTTAAACAAACAAGATTAAATATCTACATTAGTGAGCTTTAGAGGGGCTAGTAAGCAGATTTTTCTCACCTTTGGACCGCGCATGCTAGTTGTTTCCAATTGTTTCCAGTCTTTATGCTAAGCTAACCTTGTTCTAGCTTTTGCCTTATACTAAGCAAACAGACATGAGAGTTCTGTCCACCTTCTCATCCAACTCTTAGCAAATACCAATTGGGAGAATTTCCAATTATGCTGAAGTATATCTTTGAATTGCTCCCATAAAGTTAACTAGCTTCTGAAGGACAGCAACAAGTAATGGTCTATGGTTTCAGAGGAGTGTCTCTCTACGGTGACCTTTGGCATAAGGATGTTTATAGATATACAAGGGACATGGGCGTTTTTGGCCATTCACAAACAATTGATACCTGCAAGCTAAAGTGGATGTTCTGGGTGTTCTGGTTAGCCAGGCTCAGTCCCTCCCCCCCTCATAATGCACCTGTCTTACCTATGACCTTTCCCAGCTGGTGGAGCAGGACGAGTTTGCAGAGCTCATCAAAGAGGATGCTGCGTCGTTGGAGGAGCGACAGGAGACCGACTCCATCCCCGTTGTGGACGAAATCCGTTTCCACATCACCAGCAATGTGCAGACTTACAGCGCAATCGAGGAGGCCAATCAGAAACTGGAAGCCTTGGAGGAGCTGCTCACCAGCATCAATATTGAATGTTGAGGTGTTCTAGTTTGTGGCTGCCGCAGAGCTGGAAGTTTGTTTTTTTGCAAGGTGGATGCTTTGGGTGCAAACATCTGTAGAAAGAAAAAACATATGTCTTTGAGTTTTTAAGTTTCATTTTATTTACAGTATATTGAACAGAATATATATTTTCAAAGGATGTTTTGCTGCGTTTTCAGCTATAGCTCAAATTATTCATTGACTGAGATATATCAAAACATATAGTACTTGGTGTAAAGTAGCAAGTTCTGCAAGATAAGTTACAATATATTTATATATTATTTACACACAAATATATTTCAATTACCAATGCATGGATTCAGAAGGTGCTACAATTTAGACGAGATGGTTATTTTAGTTATTTTAAAATGTACTTTGACCCCAGCAAAGTTCAGAACCAGCACTTTATGAAATGTTATGTTTGTTCACTTCATACATCCAGAAATGTTTTTAAACTCTCAATCTTAATTTTAAGTTGAAAATATATTGTCATGATGTATTTCACGTGCTAAATGACAACTTTTATTTTGAATTTCACAGCACTATTCAACTAGTAACAATACTCCAGTGTGACACTTATTCCTCCATTTATTGCCCATATTCCTGCACTTTGTTTAAGCCTTAATTTGAAAGAAAATTCCCCCTGCTGCTTGTATGACAGCAAGCCTCCCTCTCCCAGTGTGTGCTCAAGAAAGAAATTCTGAAACTAAACTGTTTGCATGTAAAATCCACCATCAGCATAGGGAGGTTTTAAGGGTTTGTTTAAAAAAAATCGTAATATCCACTACTAAGTCACTATGCTTTTATATAAAATGGATAAATAACTGCTCTTGGGTTTGGCAATTAAAGGTAGCATTGCAAAAACCAGTAGTGTTGTATTCTTTTGTAATTTTTGACGTGTGCCATCTGGGTCCAATTGTACTCCACAGAGGACATCCTGGGCTTTTCAAACATATGAAGTGGGGGTGTGGCTTTGAAAAAGATAATTTCATTGTATTTCAAAATGGTGTCCATCAACACAAGCACTATTTATAGAAAGAGAAATGGTAAGTTTGTCATTTTGTAATTACCAGTGTTGTGAGTTCAATATTTTGTATTAATTATAGTAAGGGAACATCTTAGGAGTTAGTGTAGTGAGTTTTCAGAGCAGTGTAAATCTTATTCGACCTAAAACTAAATGTTTTGATGAATGTCCTCTGAGGAGGACATGGGGATTTGCTAACTTTTTATTTCCCCCATTTTACACCACACAAATGGAGTCCACTATGGGCCAAAACTAACACTTAGGTTTCTGTAGGGTTCATGGCAGATTGATGCAGTGGGAAAACATACATCAAGTGCCTCAAGTGTCAGATGTATCTCTGCATTTCAAAAAAGGATGGAGTACTACAAATGAGGGCTCAATATTTGTTGCATTGAGTTGATAATAATAATAATAATAAATGGAATTTATAAAGCGCCTTTCACGGGACCCAAGGTCGCTGTACATGGTGGACAGACAATGAGGACCGAACAAAACAAGAAAAAAATTAAATAAAGGAAGCCATGATGTGCTCTAATGTTGTCTAAATGTACTTGTATATTAATGTTGTTTGTATACTATGTTTCGCATAACTAACACCCGATGTCCTCTACAAAGGACACACAATAAAACAAAAACAAAAAAATATTTTTTCAGTTTTTGTTAGTCATTATGTTTATACCACCCTAAAGACTTGTGTGATCCAAAAAAAAAAGGAAATTTGAAATTGGCATGTATAACCTCAAAGTAATGGACGCAACCCAATGTGCTCCACAGAGGACAACAATTCATGGGTGGGTCTCTGGAGAATATATCATTAATCACTTTTTTATATATTGTAAGTCTGTAGGTCCTTCTAATACTTTGGAAATAATTGACATAACATGTTTAACAGAGAGTCATGCCATGGATGATCACTTTATTTAGCGCCATCATGTGGTTAAAATGTAATGTTGATATTGCCAATCCTTGCTCATTGTTATTTACACACCTTTTGGGTGACCACTGAATGAGGTAATGCTGAAAAACACTATACATTAGAACCACATTGTAGTGTGTAGAATGTTAACATGCTCAAATAAGATGGAGAACACAGGGAAACCACACACATGCTTCCCATCCATGTTAGCTTACTAGTGTTAGCATTTAGCTCAAAGTTTACAAAGCTGTTAGCATGGTTAAATAGAATTTATATTTGATATTCAGGGCTTTAATAGCAACAAACACCAATTTGTAATGAAAATGTATAACGTTAGTGGAGAAATGTCTACCTTCGTTTTTACGCGGCTTTGTTTAGGCCACTCCAGTTTTTCCAAAGTTAAACACTTGTAGCTCTTTAGTCCACAGTTCAGCCATTGTTATGGTGAAAAGCTATGGTGAAAACAGGTGTTGAATCTATGAATGTATATTTTAATATCAAGTTTAGGAAGGCACCTACAGATGGCGCCATTTCTCATCTTATCATCCTTGAGGTTGTTGTGAGTTGACTCAGAAATACATCTCCTCGTGCCTTGTGAGAAACAAATGAATCCATCACCCATGTCTCTCTATTCATGGTTACATGTTATGAAAGGGGCCTTTTAACAGTGGTCCATTTTTCAAATCAGTGATTTATCTCAAGTCCACAAAGCTGGGAAGAAAGGCAGTAAATAAGGTGCTTTTGCATGTTTGCAGGGATAGAAAGTTGTTGGCCTGTGTACTTGCCCTATGGTTTAAAAATGAGCGTCCTGGTGGGCTTCATTACCCGTGTTTCAAAGACTCTTGGAGGGGAATACAAATCTGTACGTCACCTTAATGGACCCCTGAGGTGGGTGAGCTCAAATCCCAGCAGAGCTGCCATTAAAAGACATTAGGGTGCAGACGTGCAGTTCAACTGAAACACTAACACCATCTGTAAGAAAACAAAACCTTTGGCTTTCAGCCCAGTATCTTGAGGGCTTACATGTTTAATAATACAAGAATAAAAAACACAATTACTTATTACCGCAGCAAGCCTCCTTTGCAAATGTTGTAATGCTTGTTGCTAAGCAGCTCAGAGGAGTTTTAGTCTTGGGTGGGAAAGTCCAGTTTACTGCTACTGTGTCAAATGGCTATTTATGCAGTGTACAGGAGGAACATATATATTTCTCGTGGTTTTATTCAATTTCCATGGAAACTGTGTCTACAAGTTGATTTACCGTTTCTATGATAACAGCTTGGTGCCTCAGTTTGTTCCCATTTAACAACTCCACATCCCTACAGGGGCCCCAAGTCCGTGCAGTATACAATGAAGCTTGGATAGTAGCGTGACTTTGACTATACAACTGCAGTTTTTTTGTCATCGTTAGTGGAATTGAGCTACAACTACTGGACATTAGTTGTTATAAAATGTTGGTCATTCATAGTCTCCAGAGGATGAAGAATGACAACTTTCTCTTGATTTTATCGCTACCAATACCCCTGGGCTGAAATATGTGGGTTTCATGAAATATATTGAATGCCATGAATTGTGTTTTGACATTTAGAGTTCATAGAGGATCAACCAGAATAACTTTTGTAATTCCTTGACTTTGCCCCTGTGCCACCAGAAGGCCAAATTCTTAAAGTATCAACTCAACATGGTTGCCAGAGGATGAATCACAAGTGAAATGTCTTAACAGCTATTGAATTAAATGTTGTACACCCAGTAATGTCACCTTCAGGATGGTTGGTAATTACTGACATGTCAATCTTCTAAACTTATGATCTTGTTTTCCATGACTTGATTGCACAACTGATTTGTTGTCAGTTAACATGACTAAGACCTAAATCTTATAGTCAGTTTTTTCTTAACACAGTGCCAAAAACATTATTTGCAGCCCCTCAAGCAGTTAATCAGATTGTCCCTTGTCCCTTTGCCCTGTCTAACACTATTTTTCTTGAATAGTTCACACTGGAAGCCCTCTCCTGATACACATCTAACATTACTGGCAGACAATGATTTATGGATAATTATTTGTTCTCTGCTAGTATGACGCTGACATTATGATTGTCTTTTACATGTTTTGATGTCACACACCAGACACCTACTAAATGTAGTTCAAATAAACATTTCCTCTTTAGATTATTTGCAACATACTGGCATGCCTGCACTCTGAATATTGTATTACTGCTGGGACAATGACTTACATAGTGACTTACTAAAACTATAATTTTTTATATAATGATTTCTATTTCTTCTCTCTATTGTGTTTCGTCTGCATTACTTTAACATGTATTTACACTGAGGACTTGTATCTGTTTTTGCATGGAACAAATTCCAAAACATCTTGAAGAGAGTATATCTCTCTGCTCTTGACTCATGTCACTGTGTCACTCATTGAGACTTCACTGTGACTCTCGTCTCCTTATACAGGAATCTGCAAGGGCAAACATATTCTGTTCAATTGTAGAACCTATTCCTTTAAACTTCTAATATTAAAGGTTATATATTGTTATATGTCTGGAGTTAGTTTGATTCCTGAATGTGCACTATAACACTCCCATAGTATGGTTCTGCTGTTTTTATTTAAAAAGAAATTCTAATTGTATTTGGTCATCCGTTCAAACTTGTTGAGGTGGTTTCCTTTTTTTTAGGTTTTGCTGCGTCATTGAAAGGTTTATTTCAAGTGCTATATGGAGGACATATTACATATGTACAAAACATGCAGAGCTAAGTAACTCATACCATCTGTCTGACTTCCTTCCTGGAACAAACATGCTCATTTCAACCATGACATTCTTCTATATGTGGCTCACATGTAGGATTATTTACATTTGGAACAGATGGAGAAGACTGCAGGTGGGCCAACATAAAGCCAATAACATGATGCAAGTAAGATGTGTTAGTAGATATTAATTCAACTATTTTATATTCAATCGTTATTCCATTTGATGCTGCTTCTACTATACCTCACTGCTTTTCAGATGTTTGTATTGTAGTTTGTAGTATTGTAGTGCCTTTATTTAATAGCTAAAGTTGGTAATTTTGTTACAGCATTTGCAAGAGAAGTACAGAAACATTTTACTTAGATGTCAGACTAATACAAAAATAAATAGATTTTTTTTTTACTGAAAATGCCACGAAATACAATCATGATTCATAAATAAAAATAAAACACAGAAAGACTGTCACAATATACTGTATTTACATGAGTGTATAAAATACATAATTTTGAAATGAAGTAAACCAAGGGCCTGAATACTTCTACCATTTGTGGATCTATAATCTCTTGTGTTTCCAAGGAGCATATAGCCTACTTTGACCATGTTTACATTTATTTATTCTACAATTTATTAAATTGAGTCTTAGTAGCCTACAACATCTGTCTTTAAGGGGATGATTTATGACAGCACTGCACATTTGCGACCTTGTCCCTGAGTATTTCTATGTCCTCCCAGGAAACAGAAAACATAACTCACTGCGGCTGTCACCGCCAATATCCTAATTTGTTAGTAGTTGGGGATTACCACCTGAGGGAGAGAGAGAGAGAGAGAGAGAGTCGTAAACCCATACTTAGCCAGAGGCTGACCTGAACAGCTCTAGCTCATTTTCCAACTCCCCCACTCCGTCCTATACCCCACTTTTATATTTCTACGGATAAACTTAAACATGTAAAAAAATACTGTATGATTCACACAACATACACCTAGATACTGTATTGTATTGTATTGTATTGTACTGTAGTGTCAGTCCAAGTTCGGCACAAAAGAAAGGCTGCTCTTACATGTCAATAGACAGGTTTAGAGACTTAAGACATGGGCAAGTGTTGTGCCCAGCCAGCCATTATGTAAGAAATGGCACAGCGAAGACTACACGCCGGCTAAAGTGAATGATAGGTTCCCGCCGAGAAGATCTCTTTAAAGGATTGCCATGAAATGAGAAAGGCTGAGCAGCCAGTCCCTCTCCCCCACATTTCAGCAGACATGTCATGCTTATACCAGGCTGAAGATGCCTATCAGTTTAATAAATATTGATTCAAGTTTAAAGCGTCACAACCTGGTATTCTGATTATCTCCCTGCTCTGCGTGGAGGCTCTTCTTAGAAGTGTGTGACAGTCAGATGCTTACACTTAACATAGCCAAGCTAATATGGGATTAAGCCTTACACACATGCACACTTGACGTAATAGCTGCCAGGACACAGACAAGCAGGGGAGCAGTGGTTTTATTAGTCAACTTTGTGAATGACGATTGACTCTCTAAGAAAGCTGAGTAAATATATCTGGCCAATACGTTTGCTTATAACACGAACAATGCATCCTGCAGCAGGAAAACATTTGAATGGTTTATTTGTCCAATGTGTGTCCCAGTGTTCATTTTATCCTTTGCCGTGTGTCTGTCTTGTTTGTTGCTATACACTGAAATGTTATGCTCCATTAAAGGTGAGTCACAAGGTTGCCAGAAGAGATCACAGCCAGCTCTGCAGATATACAAACAGCGTCTGCATGTGAGGCAGGATTACACTGTGACCATGTGACTGGTCTGCCC